AGGGGGAGGGGAGCACTTGGGGGGGTGAGGAGGAAGGAGGGGGAGTGAGATCACCTCCCCCGCCGCCCGCCCCGCCTCGCCACACCCTCTCCCCTTGTCCCCGCCAAGCCTAGCCCTAACTGCAGGGCCTGGCGCGTGCTAGGGACCCCTCGTGGTGGGGGCGCCTCTCTGGTAGCTTCCCAGTTCTGGAATATCCGAGCCGAGAGTGACCCCAACCCCACCACCAGGAATCCAGGCTGCCGAGGAGGCCTGGATTGGGAATCGCAAGGCAGGGGTATTCCCGGAGCTCCCAGACTGGGCAGTGGAAAGAGGACCCAGGCTGAGAAACAGATTGTCCCCAGCCCCCACTTGGCCCTCCAGGGCCCCCGACCACTGTTGGACGCCCATACGCAGTTAGATCTGTGCCGCGCCCTAGTCACGCGTTTGAACGTCTCCCCACCCTCAGAGGAAGACCTCCATGACCCCTGGGACTCTTCTCGGAAACCCCTGCCTATTCAGGTTGCTTGGTCGGTGTCCTGGGTGGGGAGCCTGAGCCTCGGTATGCGTGTGGAGGAGGTGTGACAGGACTTGACGGGAGCGCACCCCACAGTGCCAGTGAGCTAGGCTCCAGCCTAGCCCAGGGGCGAAAGGTTGCAGAGAGGGCGGCCATCAACCTGCAACCCCCTACTCCCTGTTCTTCCTCCCACTCCCTGCCTGCTCTGTGCCTTATTTCTTTGTCCTCGGAATTGGCCTCTTCCTGACCTTTCCTGCCGGCCCCATTTTCACTCACTGCCCTTCGGGGAAAGCTTCTAGAAAGAAGGAGCTCTCCCCAACACCCCCTCCCAGGCTCCTGGCTGTGACCTCCCAGGCGAGGCGAAGTGGAGGGGACAGGAATTCCAACTGAGTCCAGCTAGCCCAAGCTGCAGGGCAAGGAAGGCCTAGGGCCCAGATGGCAGATTGCAGTCCTGGTAGCCACGGTATTTTTATGGGCATGCCTGTTACCCAGTGAAGCATTCCGTAGGTCCTCTGCTCAGCCTGCCAACACTCCCCTAGTGGTGCAAGGCCCTGTTCCCAAGGGCCACAAGAGGCCTGGTCTCCTTCCTTACAGGATCACCACCTGCCAGCTTTCTTTCCCATGAAAGGTGGGGGTGAGGGGATGCCCACCAACCCTTTCAGGATCTGGATGCTGTGTTCCATGTTCCATGGGATCTTCAAGAGGAGAGAGGAGATGAGGCACCTCAGTGCATGGAGGGCTAGGCAGAGAGAACTCAGGGCCTCTGCGATGCCCCTTCCATGAACCTACCACTTAGCTCAGATAGATTCAGAGTGCAGGTATCAACAGGACTTCTGAGGTACCACTGCTAATATCTTCAGGAGACAGCAGAAGAGACTGAGCCTTCCTGGGTCATGAAGCCAGAAGGCTCATGAACTGGGCAGAGAACGGTATTTTCCATGAGGCTCTGAGCTGAGATCAGCTTCCTGCCTGCACTGATTGTGAGAGTGGTAGGCCACAGAATAGGCCTCGCCTCTCCAGCTTCTGCTTCCACACACCCTACTTGCAGCCTACAATGAAACTTCTGCAAATACTGGGCCTAATCTGGGGCTTGATGCTGATCACTATGCTAATCTGGGGTTGATGCAGTGCTGGAACTAACTGGATAGCTCAAGTTGGCCTCAAACCCACATATTCCTGCCTCAGCCTCCAAGTGCTGGGATTATAAATGCATCCCACCACATCCAGTATAGTGTTTCTGTGCTGAGTTGCATACTATAGGTGTAACTCCTAGACACAGCATATGGCTGGGTGTTGTTTTCATCTCCTCTCATAATCCTTGTCTTTAAAAATCAGCTTGCTGGGCATGATGGCACATGCCTGTAATCCTGTTACTGGGGACATGAAACAGAAGAATGAGTTTGTCGCCAAACTGGGTTACATAGTTCAAAGGCAGCTGGGCCTGCATAGTAAGACCTTGTCTCAAAAATAAATAAACAAAAATAAAATAAAACAAGCTTTAGGGTTAAGGCTGTGGGTCAGTGGTAGAGTACTTCCTTAGCATGTATGAAGCCCTGGGATTTTTTTTTCTTGCTCTAACATTAAAAAAAAAAAAATAGGGGCTGGAGAGACGGCTTGGTGGTTAAGAGCACTGCCTGCTTTTGCAGAGAATTCAGGTTCAATTCCCAGCACCAACATGACAGCTAACAACTGTCTGTAACTCCAGTTCCAGTGGATCTGACACCTTTTTCTGACCTCCTTGGGCATTGCACGATATGGGTGCACTTACATACATGCAGGCAATACACTCATACACATTAAAAATAAAATAAATAATGTTGGGCATGGTGCACGCCTTTAATCCCAGCACTCAGGAAGCAGAGGCAGGCAGATGTTTGTGAGTTCAAGGCCAGCCTGGTCTACATAGTGAGTTCCAGGCCAACTGGAGTTACATGGAAACCCTGTCTCAAAAAGACCAAAATAAAATAAGATAAATATTAAAAAGAAAAAAAAAATCAGACTTGTTGAAATACAATTTACTTATAATAAAACTGGCTGTGCTGGATAGCTTCAGTTGTCAACTTGACACACTTAGGTAGAAGGAGCCTCCGTTAGGGAATTACCTCCATTGGATTGGCCTGTGGTCATGTCTGTGGAGTATTTTCTTAATTGTTGAGTGATGGGGGAGGGTCCAGCCCACTGTAGGTGGTGCCACCCCCCAACCCCCAGCAGGTTGTTGTGTGTTGTATAAGAAATCAGGCTGAGCATGGGCCAGGGGAGCAAGCTAGTAAGCAGCATTCCTTTATGGCCTATGCTCCAGCTTCTGCCTCCTGCCTCCAGGTTCCTGCCCGAGTTCCTATCTTGGGTTCCCTCAGTGATGAACTGTGACCCGGGAGATGTGAGTCAAATAAACCCCTTCCTCCCTAAGTTGGTATTGATCAGTGTTTTGTCATGGCAACTGAAGGCAAACTAGAACAGAAATTGGTACCAGGATTGTGGGGTACTGCTGTGACAGATGTGACCCAGTTGTTTTGGGGAGGATTGTGGAAGTGTTTGGAACTTTGGGCTGGAAAAGCCATATAGAATTTGTTATAGAGCTTGGAACAGTTATGCTGAAAGAGTTGTGGACAATGGAGGCCTGAGTTGTGAAGCTTCAAAGAGAAGCAGACACTATGAGGGCTGTTTGTGATGTCTTAAATTGAGAATATATGGGTCTGGTCAGCTGGGGCTGAAGAATAAATTGTGATTAAGAAGAGAACAGTTGGGGCTGGAGAGATGGCTCAGAGGTTAAGAGCACTGACTGCTCTTGCAGAGGACCCAGGTTCAATTCCCAGCACCTACATGGTGGCTACGAACCGTCCTTAACTCCAGTCCCAGGAGAATTCAAAGCCATCTTCTGACCTCCGCAGCACTGCACGACACGGGTGCACTCACATACATGCGGGCAATACACTAATACACAT